GGGCGGAGCCGGAGCCCCCCCCCCCCTCCCACCCGAAGAGATGCCTGGAAGAAACTCTGCTTTAAACCCCCCCCCCCCCCCCCACAGAACCGCCAAGACAGTGGCGTAGCGAGGTCGGGTGTCACCCGGTGCGGCACTTAATGGTGTCACCCCCCCCCCCCCCAGAGGCGTAGAGACTCTTCCCGGGGACAAACTTTCAATTTTCGATTTGGACCCCCCCCCCCCCTCAAACTTTCAATTTGCAACCCCCTCAAATTTTTCTCTATATATTTTTACTATTTTTTGCCTTGGTGTCACCCCTAAATGGTTTCACCCGGTGCGGTCCGGAATGTCGTGGGCCAAACTTGGAGGAATCGCACAGACACGAGTACGATGGAGAGGTGTCGTCCCAATGCTCCACAAGGGGTTCACAAGAATGATGATGATGATTTCCCAAGTGGCACCACAAAAGTCTGAAATTACCCCCCCCCCCCCCCCCCCCTTAATCGTAATTTATAAACCACACCTACGCTGACATCAGACTTTCAGTTTTCAAATCAGGGCCTAGCGTTAACAGGGAAGGTAAATAGACTTCCATAGTAAACCGTCAAACGAAGTCAACCTGACCTTCCCCTCTTGTTCACACATTTTAACAACACGTAGCAAACACCCCCCCCCCCTAAATTATCACAGACATTGAAATACTTGTCGTAGCCCCGCGTCATATCCGACATGACTTTCTATCAATAGCATTTTATCTTCCCGATCAAACATGTGTCAGTATATCCCAACACATCTTAGATTACCAGGAACTTGTATCTGTATGCCAAGCTTTGCTGACTTCATGGAGTTGATATGCCATTTATCTATCTCTATGATAATACCAAATGTTGACTGATAGAGAGTTTTTCCATTGAATTATGACGTCACAATTTGCCACACTCCCCCCTTCTCACCACAATAATTAGACAAAGGCAGGCCTCGCTAAACGTTCCATACACTCCCCAAAAATAACCAAAAGTTGCACCAAAAGTTGCATCATTGTCATCGTTTTTACTTGCGAAATAAGACAAATGCCAAGTCAGAATCAGACTTCACATTTCTTGCCCCGCCCCACTCCCTCCTCTCTACACAGCACATTGCAAAATGACCTCATCCAGCTCATCTATGTGATGACTATTATTGGTGATTCTATAGATATAATTCTTATTTTCAGTTCTAACATATTGAGAACTCTGTACGCATGAATGTACACCATTTTTAAAGCTCAGCCTACAGCACAGATGTCGAGTTTGTCCAATCACCTAGATCTCCGATAGGCTAACGGTCCGCGTTTGGACAATGGCAGTCACCCCCCCCCCATTCCCAGAAGAAATGCCCAGAGGCATAGCGAAGGGGGGGGGGCGGGGGGTGCGGACCGCACCATTTAGGGGGGTGACACCAAGGCAAAAAAATAGCTAAATATATGGAGAAAAATTTGAGGGGGGGGGTGCAAATCGAAAGTTTGAGGGGGGGGGGGTGCAAATTGAAAGTTTGTCCCCGGGAAGGGTCGCTACGCCTCTGGGGGGGGGGGGGGGTGACACCATTAAGCGCCGCATCGGGTGACACCAGACCTCGCTACGCCACTGGAAATGCCTGAATAAGATCGTACACATTTATTCTTTTCTGTCGGTTCCGCAGTTGAAGTGTGGATTATGATTAAGGTTAAAGTCCAGCTTAGGATTAATATTAGGGTTACTACTTAATTAGGGCTAGGCTAAAAGAGATACTTGAGAACCAAAACATTCGACTATTTTACAAGAAAAACAGGCTTCATGCAAGATCGTATCTTTTAATTTAATTCGTCTTTTTTTTTCTCTTCAGATATACATTCTCACAGCAAATAAAGAAACAGTTTTTTCTTCACTCCTGCCAATTTTGTTTTTCTTCTGTTTTTCCCCTTCATGGGAGGTGGATATGAGGGTCAATGCACAGCCGACATGTCAGCGGTCGTGTTGTGACACCTACTGACACTGTGTTTATTTTAGGCCACACTGAGGTCGGTTTTACAACAGCAGGCGGTTGCAGCAGTTGTGCCAACTCAGGCTATCACCCTCCCCCCCCCCCCCAACCTAGCTGGGGAAGGGGATTTAATTTGCGACATTAAGACGAAACATTGCAAAATATTCAGGAAAAAAAAAACGTTTCAATTGTAATCAATAACGAAGTTAATTTAAAATTGGTTAAAATAGAACTGAAGTACAGATTTAGCCTATATCTATCGACAAACGTGGGGGGGGGGGGGGGGGGGGGGGGATTTATACCATGAGTTACCGCAAGGGGTAATTGTACTTAATTTTTAAAGAAAAAAAAACTTGTCATACAAAGGGCCAAAAACTTACGATACACATGAAGATATTCTGGATGGTGTTTCTCTTGTTTTATAAATGTAAAAGTTCCCTTTTCAAACATGACGGTCTATAGGGCAAGTGAAGTAGAGTTCACTTGTTTCAGTGACCTCGGCATAGGAAGAGATAGTGTGGTCAGTACTATTACTAGTCGCCTTTACCTTCCCTAACGTGATTTAGGTACCCATCAGAGTTGGGGTGGACTCAGGGACAGTCTACTGACTTGAACCCGGATTCGAACTCGAGACTTACGGGTTAGCAGTCCAGCTCCGTCCCCTTTATAAATGTATCTTAGATCAAACTGGGGTTAAGCTAAACAGTAATTAAGGCTCATTTGATATTTTTGCACAAATGTAACACGGACCGATAGAATATTTATTATTTATTAATATTTATTATAAGCTAATGAATATGATGTTATGTGGAGTGGGTGGTAGTACAGAGAAATGTTGCACAACATCACTTTTGTTTTCTCTAAATCTCTACTTTTAGAATGTTTGGATGCATAAGTTGACGCCTGTGGTTCATGCATTTTTCTACTTGCTCAAATAAGTTTTTGGAAATATTTCTAATGGGGAATAAAAAGCGTTCTTCACAAAGTTTATGTATATGAGCTATTAAAAAAAAAAAGAAATACATTTATTGTAAAAGTTAGTTCCCTTTTGAAGCTAACTGTCCATTGGACAAGTAATGTAAAGTTCCCGTTTCTGTGACCTCGGCATATGAAGTAATAGTGTGGTCAGCACTATGCCCAGCCGTCTTTACTTTCCCTAAGTACTCATCTCAGAGCTGGATGGACGTTTTACGTGGACGTTCTATGGACTTGAATCCAGATTCGAACTCGAGACTTTCAGGTTAGCAGTCGTATGCTCTACTATTCCACCACCAACAATTGTTGTGCCACATTTCAAAGAAATATTATATGGGGTGATGATCTATGTAAACGGTTAATAAATTAGACAAAAGACTGAAGTCAATGTGCATTTTTGTATCAATTTAGTCCAGGATCCGTACAGGATTCCTAATAAGCAGAGCACTATTCGTGTAGTGCAGGGGTCTCCAAACTACGGCCCGCGAGGTCCTCTCATCCGGCCCGCGGAGATGTTTTTGTCCACGGAAAAACCGTTTGTTGGTGATTGCTGAGGAACTTTGCCCAGAAAAATCAAAGACATGCCCGGAAGAAACTGTCCCCCGAACTGACATTTGATAGTTAATGCGGCCCTCTGACTGAAAAGTTTGGAGACCCCTGGTGTAGTGAAACGTTTGTGTCTGTGTTTGCTCCGTATATCTAGGCTAGATCCATGTCCGACAACAATAGACCCGTGAATCAGTTTGACACATGGCTCACAGAGTTTCTTCCAGGCATCTCTTCGGGGGGGCCAAGCCCCCCCCCCCAAATTTTTTTACCGCCCCCCCGAACGAAATGAAATTTATATAGAAAATATATACTTTTAACAGTGTCCGCCCCCCCCCCCCCCCGAAGAAAGTTTACCGCCCCCCCGAAGATTTCAAGTGCCCCCCAGGAGAAAAAAGTCTGGAAGAAACACTGATGGCTCATTGCTGTCACATAAAATATTCACCAGCTGGGCGTGCAAGTGGTGAAGAACTGTAACAGCACCTTTATTGTGGGGACATTTAATCACACAATTCAAGTATTGAAGGCTGTTAAACATAACCCCCCCCCCCTGTAGAAAACTTGAGTTAATACTATTTACTGTAGTATCACTATTCAAAATGTTAATCATGACTCTAATGTCTTGTTTGACAAAACATTTGCAGAACCTTTCAGACGCAGATCAGTTGGATGCTAAAAATAGTAGTGGATCCAGTTGTTTACATTGTTGGATCAATGAAATATGCAAGATGTAATCTACGTCTTTTGAATGAAGCATCATTGATTATTGAGTGAACAGTTCGAGCAGTTAAAAATAGCTCTTCCAAAGAAACAACATATTAATGCCAAAGGCAATGCTACTAATTTTAGAAGCAGTCTTTCTGATGTTGCCTGAAGGTTTCTTCATTACTTTATAATACTTTTGGTACATGTTAATACAGATTGTTGCTTAATGCGTTTTTTTAAATATTTTTTTATCTCAAGACAGGAATTTCTGCAATTTGTCTGGGGCTCATCCCCATTAAACCTGACACTTTTTATTTGGCATTGTGAATTATTTCCTGAGACTTGTGGTGATCAATAATGACCCCCCCCCCCCCACTCACAGCAGTATCACCACCAGCATGAAAACATCAGAAACAGCACACAGACAACACAATATATCACTGTATTTCACCTCGTCAGTTTCTCATGTAGGGAGTAAACTTGAAAATATTCAGCGGAATTTGTATTGTTTGTGTTATGTCAGTAGGGAAACAAATACAAAAATAACTAGTTTATGAATTTGGCAATTGCCATTATAAAGAAGAATCTGTGAGCTGTATTTTCCAAATACCAACCCCAAGACTTACAAAATGGGACATAAGTGGTTGTGAAATGACCATTAAGATAAATGCATTTTATATAAGACCAGTACAGTTTGACAGAAACAAACAAATTAACTTTATCTCCCATTAACCTCCCACCAGTAAATACTGAACTAGAATAAATTAAAAAAAAAAACAACAACACAATTTTCTGCATTTTCATTACAACAGCATATAATTGTAAAAGCATTGATAAAATAACATGCTTAGCACTAGAATAGCAATAAGAGATGTTCACAAACACAACCAAACAGCATTCAAGAGTAACCAAACTTCTAAGCGCTAAAAAACATAAGCTATGTAAAGACTAGATAAGGACAGATTTAAACTGATCGTTCAGAAACCTTTATGAATTATCTAAGTTCACCAAATTGAGACAGAGGAAAAAAAAAAGAGATAAAATACTACACCTCTAGGCTGGCAGCAGCTGATAGAAAAGAAAATTCTCACGCCAATAGACAAGAATGGGCACATGATTAAACAATGACAACATACATAAAATTCTTGTTATAAGGATATATTGTTACAGATCTTAGTTATATTTGGAATAATTCATATATTCAAAAAATGCTTTATATTACACATTGTACACTAAAATCACATTTTCAAACCAAATTAATATATTTTTTAATAAAATGTGAAGCTTACATACAAGTCAAGATACTTTTTAAATTCATTTTTTAATTATACTGTAAGATATTAATTTTCATTTCTAATTTGAAGACATATATTATAACCCGCTCCAAATGAGGATGTTTTGTAAATTGCAGGTGCCAAATTTAATAATACAGTGATTGAATCTTTTAAAAAAAAACAACAAACCCAACTTTGGTTTAAGCTATAATTACAAATTTAAATTGACTTATTAATTAATACTGACCAGTTTGTAAAACAAGGGAGATAATCAAAACATTAAAATAAAAAAAAAAAGAAGATAAAGCCAAGAATGTTTTCACAAATTTCAATCTAAAAAAAATTGGTTCATGTCTTTAACCTGGTTCTGAGAAAAAAACCACCTGCACCAGACAAGGAGGTAAAATGAGATTATTTTTTTTCAAGAACAAAATCCATTTTTAGATCTCTCAGAAAATTAAAGAAAGAGACTAGAACAGCTGGTAATTTTTAAATCTATTATTGTTATAGAAAACAACTTTTTCCTTACAAATATAACAAAATAAAAACCTAAAATAATGTTTTAAGTTAAAATTTGTATGATGAAGTCAACATTTAACCTAAAACTTTTAGAAGGTAGATATAATCATATATTTACAAAGTTTATAATTAAAGCATATCTACCTCTGCACAAATGCATTTTCTAACCTTAAAAAATGCAGCCAAGATATCCCATGAAAAGACTAGTCATTAATTGTAAATACATACCAAAATATCTTAGAGTTCAATAGAAATATTTTTTTAAACATGTTTATGATTGTTTTGCCCATATTTAAGTAAACATTAATATGTTGAAAGAATAAAGCATATTTAAAGCTTTTAAAAATATATATATATACACATATATATCCACTGGCAAGCAAAAATATGGCAAACCTCTAAGCTAAAATTCTTTGAAGCTCGTATAGTTAAAAATACTCAGACAATGGTACAATACTTTTATGAATAATAATTAAAAAAAGCATTTGTAAAATTTGGTTACATCAATGTAAAGCAAATCATTGACTTTGGTATAAATAATGTTTTAAACAATGTAAGAGGGTAATTTAATATAAAATCTTATGGCAAACCTCACAACCAAATAGATATAAATAACTCAAAAACACAATGGACAATTTTTTTAGATTTTTAACTACAAACTTTTTTTAAACACAAATTTTATTACGTACATGACTACACAAATGTATCAGAATTATAAATCTCATCATTGATAACTCACGTTAATTACTATGATACTGTATCTTTAAAAGCGTGTTATGTTTTAGAAAGCATACAGTTTAAAAAAAAATCTTGACCAGTTTTTCTAAGAACCTTTTATAAATAACAGTAGCTCTCAACCTTTTCACATGGGCTACCATGTAACAGGTTAACATTTCTTAACTCCTAAAAAAAAGCTGCTTCTGAAATATCAAGGATGAGATAATTTTTTAAGATTTACAGTAAATCATCGACAACAAGGCAGAAATACTACTTTTGTGTTTAACACATTGTGCCAACTGTAGGTTCTGCACATCTAAACATGCCAGGGATGTTTTACACACAAGGTTAAGGGTCAAAGTTGAGAAGAAAATTCCATTATTTTAAGTCTTGACTAAAAAATTCAACATTAGGCAATTCTAATTCAATTTAAGAGTATAAGATAAATTTTAAAGTCAAATGACCATAAGCTGTTTCATATTATACTATAGTGTAGATTTATTTATTTTTACTAAGATAAAGGCAGATATCATACTTATATTTAAAGTAGTAACTTTCTTTGAAATGTAGATTTAATTAAGTAACACATAAAGGTTCTCTTTCTAAAAATAAAATAAATCAATGAACAAAAAAATACATCACAGAGTTGCAATTATCACAGATAGCAGTCTCCTGTGAAGTTAATTCAATACTATAACTGTGTCTCAATGTAATCAATGAAATAATTTTTGATTAAGGAATGTAGCATACAATACATTTATACTTCATATAGTAGTTTCATTTTGAAGGCAGTATATTAAAGTATCTACTTACAACTTTAAGTTGCATACATTGAAACAAATACTTTGTTCATTTAAAAGACAAGATGATGGAGAAAAAAGTTTAAACTAAAATGAAATATCTAACTTACAACTGAAAACAATTAAGTCAGTTATGCTTTTTCCATACACAGTTTTTAAATAGCTGATTTTTATTCCTATTAATCAAATATATACTTTATTTAATGAAAGCACCCGAGCAACAAAATTATGCTCAAGTTAATTCAAAATCACAAATAAAACTTAATTATTGAATGTGTTGTTTCTCAATTATTTAAATACAAATAATATAACCAACTTATTATACAAGTACAACCATTAAAACACATTACAGAAAGTAAAAGTGGTTGGGCATAGTGCTGACCACACCATCCCATTATATGCTGAGGTCAAGGAACAAATGAACTCTACTTCATCTACCCTATAGGTCATTAGATCAAACAGGGGAACTTAACTTTATTTAAACACTTACTATGGTAAATTGAAAATATAGCAATTTTTTTTTTAAATAGACAAACTACTTATGGCTTTAACTTTGTCATGTAAAAGGAAAACAAAAGGTCCTTTAATTTTATACAAATAAATGCAAAATCATCTTTCATCTCATAATAGCTGAAAATAAAATGCAAACAGAACACAAATAAACATTTTTCCCATAATAGAAACTATACTGAAATTAAGTTAGATACATCATTGTAAACATTAGAACATGTAAAATAAAAAGAGATTACACAGAAGTATAAAAACTTTTTTGACATGCAAGAGACTAGACAATATTCAAGAAATTTTATTTAAAATAGGAATGTTGATGATGAATTATCATCTGAAAAGCAGAAGGAACTGAATTAAACTGGACGGTAGTGGCAGAGTTTGCATGTTTTTGATAAAATGTTTCCCACGTCCAATGCGGCTTAAGGAACACCTGACCACTAGCTTACACTGGTGCTGGAGAGAAGGGGGCGCTTGAGTTTCTTGATCCAGGAGCTCTAGTATGTCAGAGTCCACATCGCTGTTGGACAGGGCCATCCTCACTGAACGGATCTCCCACAAGCCGACACCCGCTTGGAGAACTAGTTTAACTATTTCAAAGTTGCCATTTTTGGTGGCCCAGAAAAGAGGGGACTGTTCAGCTGATGACCAGTTGTTGTGAGCTGAAAGCGGACTTCCGTGTATGATGAGATGGCGGATAATCATAGAACTGACTCTGTACATAAGAGCAGTGAGTAAGGGAGTGCAACCAAACTTGTCCATTTTGCTAACACTGGCACCATTGTTAATCAAGTACTCCACTAGGTCAGGCATCTGCTGTCTTGAGGCCACCCACAATGCAGTATGACCCTGGTTATCAGTCATGTCAATGTCTGCGCCTTTTCTTACAAGGGTCATGACACCCTCTAAAAAATGTAAACGGCATGCTGTGATTATTGGGGGTTCCATCCTTCCAAGGTTGTCCTTGCTGATCATATTTAAATTAAGATTTCCCATTTTGGCTTGATGGTGTAGAAACAAGTGGAATATATCAAACCTTTTTCTATACAATGTCAATGAGAGTGGAGTGACGTCTTTGATGTGAAAGTTGAAATCAAGATCTGGGTAGGAGAGTAAAACATTGCGAACTCTCTTCAATGAACCCATTTCAATTGCAGCGAACAACTCATAGCATAAAAATGAATGTACGTATCTGTTGGATGTCTCAAAAGTTGTAGACTGTGTGTTGTGCTTACAGTCCAAAACTTTTGTTGGGCTCCCCTTGCTAGTAACAGGGACATTGCCCATGTTAACTGGATAGGTGGAGCTAAGAACTAAGGCAGGAGGAGCTGAGTCTTGAGGGCCAACTAGCCCATGGTCCATTCTAGAGCTTGGCATGAGGAGACTATTTATTACAAAAAATCTGAAAAGAAAAAGGAGATAAAATGATGGATTTAAATCTAGGTAAACTAATATGAATATAAGAAATTATACTGTTAGTGTAAATAAATTGTATTGTAAACTATGTTTTCATTAAATTATTATGTTAATATGAGTGGGCTGGCTACATTCAATGACAAGTGGGCTTAAGGAAAATAAACAAAACAATTCTTCATATAACAGCTAGATAGAATCACAAGATTTAATTATAGCTACTCTAGTTAAATTATGTTAATTATAGGCCTATACAAGCTATATATATATATAATGGTCTAAGTAGGCCTGTATAGATCTAAATCTTGTATTTAATACATTATGATTCATTTTTAAAAAACTTAAATTGTTCATAAATGCTAGAAGGCCTATATTAGTATATTAGTATTAATTTATTTAGATTAGAAAATTAAGTTGGCTGTTAAGACTAACTGTGTTATGCATATTTATTTAATTTAGACCTGATGATTAAGATTTACTTAAAAATTATGACAAAATCATAGTTTATTGATGATACAGGGCTTATATTATACTTTAGCGGCTAATAATTTAAAAAAGAAAATGAAATGCAGAGTGAAAATAAAGTAGCCCCCCCCCCTCTAAAAGCTGAAAATCACCCACATCAGGTGATGGTTGAAAAAAAAACCAAATTGTGAAAATAGGCTAGCTATTGCAAATACAACACTTTGGAGTAAGTAAAATATTGTAACAGAAAGTAATTTTTGTTAAGTTAGTTTTAGTTATTAGGTTAGGCCTAATATTATATAGAACTACTACTTTACAACTTTACAATACTTTGACTTTAAATTAATATTAGGCCGATTCTAGTCGGAATAAGATACGTATGTGATACGCATGCGCAATGGAGAGAAACTACGACTTGCCTTAGCGGCGATGTTTTCGATGGTACTGCGCATGCGTGTGTTTACAACCGCAGAACCCTAACACCAACCCTAATCCTAACCCTAATCCTATCCCTAACCCTAACCCTAGCCCTAATCCCATCCCTAACCTAATCCTAACCCTCATTCTACCATAGGTCACTGCGCATGCGCAGAACTATCTTTTGCCGACTAAATGGAGACGTTGGGGAGAAAAATCTTCTTCCGAGTAGACACTTCGTTAATAATAATATTATTCTTTTCAACTAACTTAGTCTGACTATTTTCTATAATTCTAAATACTAATTTGAATCAATGCAATTTCAAAATTTAATGCAATGAAACACTTGAAAAAGGTAAGTTAGTCTTTAGTCAATCTTTATTATTACAATAATATTATTACAACAGTTAGAATTACTCCAGTTACAGATTCCTATCAGTGATCATTGTTCATTGCGTCAATGATTGCTGCTGCTACTGCTAGCAGCTAGTTTCTGCTCAGCCTTTTTTAGCTGACACATAAAAAGTATAAACTAACGAATTAGATATAGATCTAGATTTATTTATATTGCTATGAATGAATGCTATACTCAATATAAAATGCTTAAAATTAAAGTACAAGTACACAGCTGATGAAACTTCATAAAAATAAGTTTACTTTTAATAGTTCTAGCTCTAAATAACACCATTCTGATTACGCAGTGAGGTGGCCCTGCCCATTTTCCCATCATTCATAATCACAACAAAGATGGCTGAGTAAATAAAATCAATGAACCAATAGAATATATTTTGTTTTTTACTGCGTGATGAGAAATTACTTTGTAAAGGGAAGCAATCGAAAACTGTTTTGCTTAGTTACAATAGATTTTAAAAATTTGTGAAGTTTTGCTGTGAAAAGTGAATGTTACTTCACTAGTACAATTACAAAGATAAATTAGAATGCCGGTGACTTTGAGATGCAAATGTGTTATTGTTGGTAAGTTAATAGATCTATGTAGTATGTAGACCTTTTTTTTTAGTTAACACTTATTTTAATATTTTTTTAACCACTAACAATTTTCAGGTAAAACTCCATTTTTATGATTTTAGCGTATTTTATTCTCCGCTCTTGTTTACCTCCAGTTGAGCGTATTTTATTATAATAACCAAACACACAAAAACATTAGGAAAACAGGATTTATTTATTTGTATTGTATTTTTGTTTTAACAAATGAATAAAAAACAAACAAAGAGACTGACTTTGTTTTGGATTTTGATAATTTTTAAAATTTACTTTTGTCAAAACTTGAGAAAAAACAAATTTAGAATATTGACAGTATTATTGAATGTGCTATGTTTGTGTGTCAGTTAGAATTTTCATCATGGCAATGGCCATGACCATGGGTGAAGTATGTACGTAAACGTAACTCACAATTGCAAGGCGGTTAAGTTTGTATTTTTACAAGTATCTCCCAGGCATGATACTATAAATAAACATTTATGAACTTGCAATGACCCCAAAACTGAGGCCAATACAATTTCAAACAGCTATTGCTCGAGCTATGACGTATGCTGATAATTAAAGTCAATGTGAACTCACGGTGAACCCGCGACCGTGTAAGGATTTTTTCTCCCGCTGACAATCACACGATATTTAATTGGAACAGTTTTAATGCTTTTTTATGTTTTTTTTATACCTTTTCTAATTAGAAATCACATTCATAAAAAATAAGTAGATCCCTAGTGTTTTCCTAACGTTTTTGTGTGTTTCGGTTGTGTTTATAATAAAATACGCTCAACTGGAGGTGAACGTGAAGCGGGGAATAAAATACGCTAAAATGGAGTTTTACCCAATTTTCATTTCCACAAATATTTATTTTAGGCCTATTCGACTATTCGCCAATATTCGGCATTATTCGGCTATTTATTATATAACTAGTATTGAAAGTATTGATCATCCAGCTACACACTATTTTTTAGTATTAAATATTGCTCAAACTATATTAAATAATTATACATACTTTTTTTTTTAAATTTCAAAGGGGATGCAACTGTTGGGAAAAGTTCAATAGCTCAAGTCTTTCACAGTGATGCTGCACATTTTCCAAAAAATTACACAATGGTAAGATCATATCTCATCAGGGTTTGTATAAAAATGTTGGGGATCATAATATTATTAAGTAGTTTCATACGTTTTACTAGGAGGTCAGCGGTCTGGTCGATAAAGTTCATGATTGCTAAAAAGTCCCAAGTTCGATCCCAGGGCAGATGATGCTCGATAGCTGGGGATATAAACCCATCTAGGAGAGTAAACTCCAAACTTAAACAGCTGGTGCCTTGTAGTTCTTTCATGGACAGACAAAGGCTATGGGAGCAAATACAAAAAGATTAAGCAACTTCCTATAATGACACATAATACTTAATTGTGTTGGAGGAAAATCCCATCCTACATTACAATTAAGAACAGAAGACTATTAATTAATCATAGTCCATCTTTGATTATTCACATAGTCTCTACCAATTAAACTGAATTAATGTTATATTAATGTTATGTAGTGAAAAATGATTGTTATTCTAATTGCAAAAGACTACAACTGGTAGAGAGTAGGCCAGTATGTGCATGGTACAATGATTCTGTAATATTAACACATTTATCTCTTTAAAATTTCAGACATTGGGTGTAGAGTTATTGGTAAAGCCAGTGAATATACCAGAAACTACAGACAGTGTGGTTTGTTACACATTAATTTTACTCTAACTTTTTATTGCCTTAATTTATTTATTTGACTGGTTAATACTATACAATATACTACAACTGAATAAAATGTTGCAGTCTATTAATTATGTCCTATACTCAGATTGTCATTTTGAAAATTTCTACAAGTTTTTGAAATTTTAAAGAACAAAATAGAACATTGACAGTGTTCATACAAATTAAAGATGCTTTATTAGATGTTCTTGTATTAAGAAGGCTAGAGGAAGAAAACAGTTTTCTGTCACCCAAAGCATGCCTTCTTGAGCCACATTTGTATAAATTATTATTTATATGCTATCTTAAGGCATATTAATCCATGTGCTCTAAGCAGATTATATTAGTTTAGACAAAATTCTTTTATCAGCTTTTATGCTGAAAATATACACAAAATTATAGATTTAAAAAAAATGTGTTACCTTTTATGATTATGAAATTTTGAAAAACTTTGTGTCTCATTTTTTCCTTCCAGGAAATCTATTTGTATGATTTAGCTGGGAAAGATACATTTACAGAAATACTTGACAAATATGTAATTCTCATTGTTTTCAAAAAATTATCAATAATTCTATATTATAGTTGTGAAATAACTGTGCCTGTGTAAATCTTTTGTGAAATAAATTGAAAAATAATTTTTAACAAGACTATCTTTTGTTAATGTAATTTATGTTAATTAGTGTAATTTGTTCTGATCTTATTCTCTGCTAAGTGGTAACTTTTTAAAATGTTTCCCTTTTAACATGTATTCACAGTGGGATCAGCCTTCAGTTGTAATGGTGGTCTATGACTGCACAAGTGAGACATCATTCAATAACTGTACAAAATGGTTAGAAAAGGTTCGATCTCAGAATCCAAATAAAAAAATTCCTGGTGAGTCAAAGTAATTTTCTATAATTTTTTTTGTGTGTGGTGTTAAACAATCAGGAATTCCTTATTTCTTGGCTTGATAATTTCAGCTTAGACATTTCATTTGTTGTTTTGTTTGTGTTCTCTGTTTTTCACCATGTCTTCAGTTTAATCAAACATTGTTTTTATTTTACATTGAACCATATTTATTATTACATATACATTTTTTTGTAAACAGATAAAAAAATGTAACCCATCATGCACACATTTAACACAATATTTTCAGGATAGTGTTCAAATTAAAGTTCAGTTATCTGAATCCTTTAATAACTTAACTATTTAATGATTGGTAAATTTTAATAGGGTCAACATCATCCTTTTTAAAAATGCTTCCCAAACTTAAAGCCAATTATAATCAGTTTTGAAAATAAATTTAGAAAAAGTAAAAAGTTCAGTAGTAGTTAAAATGAGTAAATATATCTTTACAATAAATTTTGAATATTTATAATTTAGTTTGATGTAAGGAATGTTTGCATTTCCAGGTGTCCTTATAGCAAACAAGACAGATTTAGATCAGAGAAGAGTCATCAGCCCAAAGGTTGGAAAAGAGTTTGCACTGTCAAACAAACTGGAATATTTTGAATGTTCTGCTGTAAGTGAAGTAGCAAAACAAGAAAATGGGCTTGGTTAATTAATAGAAACTCATAAATTTATAACATGACAAATTAGATTGTATTTTATGTTTTATTTTTTTATTCCATGACAAACAGAAAGAAATGCAAAATGTGGACACACCTTTTTTCTACTTGGCTAATGAATTTCACAAGTTGTACCAGGAGCAAGTTGAACTGTTTTCAACACTAAATTAATTTAATTAATCGATTTTTAGATAAACTGAATGCATTTTGAAAAAAAAATTCTTATCCTTTAATTATTTATAGTCCAACTTGGTCTGAAAAAGAAAACTGTTTTAAAAACATTTTAAAAACTTTTTAAAAACTATTTTAAAATATTTCAATCCAAGTTTAATATATATTTAAAAATTCATTAGCTATATAATATATTGGTTTTTTTTTTAATTTAAAAAGCAGATATTTCAAATTGATCAAGATTTTCCTCAAAACATAATTATTTTTAGGTTTTTAAGTTTAATATGTTTAAAAAAATTAATTTAAATAATCATAACTGTATATAGTTCTTTTTTGCATTATGTTATGCATTATTTCTATTCACAAATTAATGTAAATAAAATAACTTATCAATGATTTTGTACTTCAAAATTTTGTTTTTGCCAAAGTTGTACCATATTTTCAAAACATTTCAGCACTTTTTAAGCCCCCTTATTTTCTACTAGTGATGGATTCTTGAAATCATAATGCCAATAATGATAAATGAGTCTGTTATGAAAAGTTGTTCAAAATAATGCATCATTGTTCTTGGACTCTTGTAAGACCAAAGGGTTTAATAAATAATAACATTTTGAAAATTCACCTGAAAACTATTTTGTTTGCTGGTTATTCAATACTTCAATTTAAACTTTCTTAAGTTAAACATTGTATATTTAAACCTTCTGGGTGATATCATTCTCAATAGGTTTTGAGCAATCTACAAAATCCATTACAATTTCTGTAATATGGCTAGTAAAGTTGAATTTTAAACTATATTTCAAAACTAGTCCACAAACTGTCTGGGTATAAAAAAAGATTTTAAAATGTGGAATTTTTGTGTTGTACTTAGGTTCCACAAAGTGGCTGGTATGCTGGATGTGAGTCAGAACTACAATTTTTTCGTCATCAATATTTGTGCATTGACTAATATCATCATTATTATATATCTGAAGGTATCCGCAAATTTAATGTATGGGGTGCAGTTATAAAATGCCTTTTAACTCTTTTTAAACAATGGGACAGAAGTATCAACATGGGTGTAAATGTAGAAGCAGAAAAGTGCATTTATGATCATCTCAAAGAATAAGAGTCAATGATCTATGATTTTAGATTTTAAATTTAATTTATATAGAAAATATATACTATGATCAATGTGCCCTCCCCCCCCCCCCCCCACCAGAAATGTATTTTAAGTGTGCCTCTCCACCCACAAAAGAATCAAGTACCCCTCCCCCCTCAGAGAAACCCTGGTTGCCAGATTATAAGTTACAGTATTACTAGATCTACCGAATTCTTTATGATCTAACATAAGAATTTGAATGGTTTATAAAAAAACAAGTTAATTAAAAAAGTCTAGTGACATTTATGCGCAATATCCTTATGTTATCTAAAAATAGCTCTGGCGTATATAGCTGGGGTGCGTTCAAGCTAGAAGAACGATCGGTTTGTAGGTGTTTATGTAATTTTAAAATTTGTGCCCGAACGAGAGGATATTTTTGAAAACTTTCTTCGGCAATATTGTTCTAAATTATGGCGGGTATCGATCGGTACATGTTTCAAGTCGCTAAGTGGTCTGGTTGCCGAGATATTGGCCAAAAACTGATTTTTTTCGAGGTTTTTTGGCTTTTCCGGGAAATACATGAAAGAAACCCGGAATTTTTATGGCCTATGCTCATTCTCGTAACTTGCTTAACATAATTGCTTTTGGAACTAGTCATCGATATTGCTTCGTTGAGGAGGAGATACGACTTAAAGCCCGGACACACATTCATCCATACATTCATTCATTCATCCATCCATTCCCAGAAATGACGAGTTAATAAACGCAATTCTCCAGAATGGAAATTGCGCTAAAAAATTATTATTTCACACAACTAGGACTATGGATGATCAGCTTTCTGTGATAACGTTGGGAAAGGGGTGTTCAACAAAAATTGAATAGGAGCTAGGACTTTATTTTAGGGGGACAGACAGGCAGTGTTTCTTTCAGGCACCTCTCGGAAGGGGGGGGGGGGGGTTGAAGACGCCCATCCCCCGACGAAATTAAAAAAACGAAGTGTCTCTTCTGACCAGGGTCCACACAGGGCCTAAAACTAAAAGGAAAAGGAAAATATTAAAATGTGTTTTATTTTTACAGTTATGTCCCTTAGTGTTAGTGTAGGAACTGAGATCTAGAATCTAGTAGGACTAAGTAGGAAGCTTTGTTAACTCAAGTGCCGAATTTTAAAAATCTGGATCTAGCTAGGCCTACACATTCTAATCTAGAAATCTAGATCTAGACTAGATCTAGATCTAGATTTTAAAATCTTGACTAGAATCTAGCTCTAGATCTAGAGGTAAGTTGAGAGTTGCTTTAATTGAAAATTACTAATTATTTATTAAAAATCATGCTCCTTCTACTCTACGATCTACACACTGACACACACTAGTCTAGATTCTATCATCTAGATCTAGATCTAGATCTAAGTCAAGTCGTGACTGTACTACTGTACACTGTACTAGTACTACAGTCACTGTACAGTGTACAGTACAACACTGTGTGACTGTACACTACAACTAGTCTAGATCTAGATCTAGATCTAGTCTACAACACTGTCACATAGTCACAGTGTTGAGTGAGAGTGTTGTGTACACACACTAGGTCTACTAGATCTACTACTGTACACTAACTTAACACTAACTACTACAACTACTACTACTCTAGCAGCTTACAACACACTGTTATGTTACTAGTTACTTACTTAGTTACTTGTGTGGTACTAGTACACAGTTGAGTATACAATACACTATAATAGTTATAATAAATTAATCTAGATCTATATCTATTATCTAGATTAGGGCCTAGATTAGATAATATTTTTTATGTTAGTAGTAGTAGTAGGCCTACTAAATAATATTGACTTAAATAAATAGTAGTAGTAGGCTATTCTATCTATTCTATATCTATAGTTATAGGCCTATTGTTATTAAATAGTTACTAGTTAGCGCCCCCCCCCCCCCCTTACTACTTTTAGCCACTAGCTAGATGCTAAAATGTTGTTGGGGCACTAGTTTTTTTTTTTCCATAATTTTGGCCAAATTTCTGTGGCTTTGAGTAAATCTTTAATCTGCAATTACCAGTCGATTCCTTGAACTTGAGTTTCTGGTACTGATTGATAATTTTAAAATGTAAATGGTCTTATCTCCTCCTTAAATCTTTTTATTGGTAGAGTCATTTCCCAAAAGTCTGAAGCATCATGGACTCGTTTGTGGACAACACCGAGGTTATAAGGATGAAGCGCAAGTTTGACAGTTCAATCTCTGATAGAAGCAGCAGAGAATTTGGAAATGTTCGGCATAACCTTTTGGCAGACTTTGGTGATACACCACTGAAATCAGCACGTTTAACATCCCATGATTCAGGAAAAAGTAACCTCTTTTCCAATGTCTCAGCTAGCAGTCTTAATGGTAGGAAAACATACAATTCTGCTTTTTACTATTAGGTTTTACAGTTTGCAGTAATTATATATTGGGACAGTGTGGTAGAATGGTAGAACTTATGACTGCTAACCCAAAAGTCTGGAGTTTCTTGACTCCACCCAGCTCTAATGGGTACCTGACTCAACATTAGGGAAACAATAGTCCTGACCTCACTATCCCTTGTGTGCAGAGGTAATTGAAACAGATAAACTCTACTTCATCTGCCCCATTTATCTTGAGCAAAAACAGGAAAAGATGATGAGTAATTATATATCATTAGTTTTCTTTCAAAGTGTGAAATAATGATTGAAAAAAGTACTTTTTTGAAGAATTTTGTAACAAAATTATTGAATCCATGGTATTGGTAAATCAAAGTAAAAAAATAGTTGTTAAAAGGTATATTATAAAAATTCTGGAATGGCAATTACTGTACCCAAAGCCACAACCACTAGCTATTTCCCTATCTACCAGGCAACCTCATTATCCTACATTAGTTTAACTAAAAACAAATACTTCCATCACCAGAAAGTGGAGTGCTAAAGAAAGATCTTGCGCTAAAAGAATCTGAAATAATTGCATTAAAGGCTAACATAGTGCATTATGAAAACCGTTTGTGTTCATTGGAAAATTCTCTAAGACAAGCGCAAATAGAAAATGAGAGAGAATTGGCCAAAGTTAAAACAGAAAGAGATGTAAGTTTAACTTATTATAAAAACATTTTTAGCCGTAAGTAAAAAAAAGTCATCCCTCAAACATTAGATTAATGAGGTATTAATGATAATTAATAATACTTAAATCCAATATTATGGGAAATATTTCAGAAAGAGTCTGCTAAATCATCTGAACTAAGATCCAAAATTCATTTTGTAATGGAGAAAGAGAAGAATTCCAGGGATGAAATTGTAAAGCTAGAATCAGAATTACAGAAGCAGAAGATTGAAGCTGACAAGAAGTTGCTTGCTGCTCAGATGGATAAAATTGAAGCTATAGATCAACTTCAGCAGGTAATTTGTATGTTCAAATAAATAAAATAAAATAAAACCCAAACAAGGTACAATCTATATGGATTTGAGTTGCTTTGTCGCTCTCTTATTTTCCTAATAAAACATATCTATTATAGTATTCTCATTTTCTATTCGTAATACATTTTCAAAGGTCTGCCATAACATAAAGTTTGTTAACATAGGCCAATTAGGCTTGTTCTTTCTTCCTATTCAGTAGAAATTATATATTTTCTAGTGAAAATGAATACCACCTATTTTGTTTTTTAGGTAAAGGCTTCAAAGTTGCAAGCTGAATCAGACTTCCATATAAAGTTTCTGATGCAGATGCAAGAAATATCAACCCTTAAATCAAAAGTAAATGAGGCTGAAGCTCAGTTGGAACTAAGAAAGAGAACCCAGTATGAAAACAGTGATTATCGCAAAGAGGTAGAAGAGCTAAAAATGGTGCTAAAAGAAGAACAACAAAAGAAACAGGTATATTTTTGCTTCATTGCCGTATATTATGATATATTTTTAATTTGTTAATACAACACTTGAAAAATAATTAGAAATTATAAACATTAAAACCTAAAATTATTAGTTTAAAACAAAAGAAGAATACCATGCTGCTTTAGTAAATGACATTTTTAACTTGATTGGTTTGTAATGATTTTAGGAGCTGGAAAAATGGATGTGTGAGCATGAAGACAATATCCTTATCACAAAGGCAATGAAAAGTGACCTTGACTTGGTTCCTTTTATGAAAAATGAATTGGAAAAATTGAGGACAGACAATGAAATTTTACGGTCAGTTGTTTTGAAATTTTTTATATAATTGTTTTGAGCTGGTTAGGTTTTAAATACATTGACTCACCACCAGGGCCATAACTCCTTTGAGTTTGTAATACTGCCTGTTCCACTTGTATCTGTAGGCTTTTGCTAACAACATATCAGACAATTTCCCCAGAATTGACTTCCAATTTTTAAAAAAAAAAATCTTTCTATTGAATGTGTGCTTTTGGTTTTAACATTCACTTTAGTTAATTTTTTAAAAAGTTTTTACTTTTAAACTTACTCTTTCAGTCACAATGAGCAAAACACATTACTTTTGGAGGAGGAAGTTCGTAGCTTAAAAAATAAATTAGAGTATGCCGAGTCAATAGCATGCAGAGTAACAGAGTTGGAAGTGTTAAATGAAGTAAGATTTATTTATTTTTATTTATGCCTTCTGTATTTACCTTTGTGTCTGTTCCAATTTTTTCAATATTTTTTTAATTTTAGGAATTACAAGGAAGACTTTATCGTTGGGAGGCTTCTGATACAAGTGGTAGCAGGAGGCCACAGTATGTACTTATTTGATTCATGTTATTAGGTTTTCAAAGGATCAAGTTTAATTATGCCAAGTATATCATGTTTTTTTTTCTTCAAGGTCTCCTTGCTCATTATCTAGACGTATTCAAGAGTTAGAAACTATTCAAGCAAATCTTGTAATTAATCAAGGGGAATTACAATCAGAGTATGTCATGTATTATATCTTATCAAACCTTTAGTTAAAGCTGTTTAAGATTGAACAATCAAGGTTGTGTTAACTTGCCTTGAATGAGGCTCACTAGCTGAGGACAGTAACCCATCGAGGAAAGAAAACTTTATAATCAAACAACTGCTGCCTTGTAGTTTGTTCTTGGATGGACATAGGCTAACGAAGAAAATCCAAAAAGAAAAGCAAGCTGAAATCTGAGTTAACTGGCTGTATGGTGCATAATGTATCTGAGGAAATACATCATAAATACATCACTTTTTGCTATATGAAGTTTCTAAATTGACTTAAATTAAGTTGTTATACATTACTTTACTCCAGAAGAACTGATATGAAATATATTTCAGAATCAACCTGACCCAGCGTCGACTAGAGCAGGCAAATACTGAAAAACAAAAACTTCTACTAGAACTGGCCGAGGTAACTAACAGAGATTCCCAACAAAATGAACACATCAAACGTCTTAAAAGAAAAACACTGTTGTTAGCTAAGGTACGCCTAATAACTTAGTTAAGCTAATGCTAATTAAGATTTTTTAAAAGAAATCTTTAATCTTTTTTTTTCAATAGTGTTCTCATTCATACGTATTAAATATATATTTAAACCAGCCTTTATAATTTTATTGTAAACTGTTGGGATTAATTAATTTATATTTTGCTTGGCTATTTCTCAAAGGAGAGGGACAGTTACAAAAATCTATTGGATTCTTATGAAAGTGAAGTTACAGTCAACTTTGACAATGAAAGAAAGTCCCAGGTGTTGCATCTAGAAGAACTTGTACATGACTACAAACAGCAAAATGCTGAGCTAGAAGCTGAAATGAACAGCCTCAGTGATAAATTTATGGATGCACAAGCTAAATATGACCAGGTTAAAATGAAGAGATTTCTTACTATTTACATGGAAGTTGTCATTTGTTTTCTACAATATTAACAATCAGTGCTTTTTTTGTAAATAAAATAGGTACCGCCACTCAGTGATGGATTGCCTAACTTTTAACTACCAGTTTGTACCTCGATGCAAGCTAAATCACAACTGCAAAGAAACTAAATTAACAATTAATAATATTTAATAATAATTTTTAATATTTAATAATTAATAATAAACGTTAAAATACAAGAAAAGTAATAATTTTTTCCCCACATTGAAAAAGATGCAGGCACACTGTACTGGTGCGTACCATCACAAAAAAAGCACTGTTAACAATAGGATTTAAATTCTAATAACTATTATGTGAATTTTTGAATAGTAATGTACAATCTTCCTGCCTTGTTTTAGGTTCAACAGCAGCTATTAATCCTAGGCCCCTCTGGACAGCAACAGACAAGCAAAGAGTCTCAAGATTTGATTAAAAAGCTACAGTAAGTTTTATATTCCTACACTTTGTTAAAAATTCAATAAGAATGAGATTAAATGAAAGTGTTTACTTTTTCTGTCTGATACTGTCTGTCTGCAGAGAGCAAGTTGCAGAATTAGAAACAACCCTTTCAAAAGTACAGGAGGAAAAAGATATTTTGGAGGCAAGAATTGAACAGAGAAATTTACAGGTAAATTGTAAAATTAAAAATATTTGTTAGTATTTTGCATAAAAAAGCTTTTAAAAATTACCAGTTAAAGGAGTTTGACATTATGCATAACTTTTTTTACTAGGGTGATTACGATCCATCCAAGATAAAGGTTATTCACTTTAACCTGAATCCATCTGCTGTTGCCTCTAATGCTAGACAAGAAGAGATGACTAAAATTAAAGAGGAGAACGACAAGTTGCGCAAACGTAATCAGATTTTAGAGGAGCAGGGGAAGGTGGAAGACATAACACTTCAAGTACAGGAAAAATTGCAGCACCCATCCCCAAGCAAAGAAATTAAAGGTAACAAAATAACCATAGCAAATATATTAACATAAGTTTATTAACTTGATTGTAGTTATTGAACAAGAAGTTGTATTCATATCTTTTCAGAAATGAAAGAAAAGTTAAAAATTGAAGAGATGAGAAACAAACGTTTGAAAGAAGTGTTCACAAAGACAAGTCAGGAAATGAGAGAAATCTGCTATCAGCTGACTGGATATAAGATAGATATTCCTGTCCCCAACCAGTATAGAGTAATGAGCATGTATGCGGAGAGCTCCAGAGATTATCTTTTATTTCAGGTAGATTTCTTTTCATCCCTTGGTAGTAGTCTATTCTGCTTAATATGAAAAGGCGTTTTCCCTAATATATAGGCTGTAAAATTACTTAATAGTAATAGAAATGCTGAATTCTCATTTAAAAAAATAAAAAAAATTAACTAGACCAATCAAAATGCTTACATTAATCATGGGTTTTATGAAAAGAGCATAACCATGTCACTAGATTGGGGAAAACTGTTCTGTAATTGCCTTATCTGTTCACATTTCATTACTTATTGAAAAGAATTCTGGTGGTATAGCGCTAAAAGTCAAGCACTTGTGACTATCCCATTGATCTATAGAGTTCTGATCTTTAATATTATGGGGTGTTTGGCTTCAAGGTTAAAGTTGCAAGCACCACCTCCCAAATAAGTAGATTAGTTTCTAGATAAATGTTTGGATTCGCTCTGTACAGTTATCAACCGTATGTCCCAATAAAACAGAATTGGGTGTACTATTTTTCAATAGTAATATAGGGTGAATGATTGCATTTTGTTAGCAATCTTTTAAAAAAATTTTTTTGTCAAGGCTGGCCAAAAACTCAGAAGTAATTTTCTTGAATTTTTCCACAGCAAAATGAAAAGGGTGAAATTCAGCTATTGCAAACAGATTTCTCTTTAACATTACAAGATGCAATGGAAATGTACCTCATAAGACAAAACAGTTTCCCAATGTTCCTAAGTCATATCACCATGGATTTATTTAGCAAACAGACAATGAACTTTGGCTAACTCAACGAAACTAAGCAAAATCTGAATTGATGTTTTAAACCTTTTATTGTTCAATGTACATAAGATAATTAACAATATCAGCATTCTTTATGCTGTTTATCAGTCATTAAACCATGTAATAGCAATTCATTATAATAATAAAATGGTTTATAAAAAGTTTGATGTATAAGATAATGTTGCTTTATGTTGAGTCTTTGAACAGTAACAAGTGGTATCTATTAAATTTTACTTATAATTGAAGATTTAATAACCCATTGAAATCTCATTTGCACATTACTGTTAAAAAAAGATAATCCCTGAAGATTTAGAATAGAATTTATTTACAAAGCTGGAGTTCATTTTCCACAGCGTGCACTAAAACTCTGCAACATAGCACCTGACTAGGCATAGATGCACATTCTTTCATATTTTTATTTCAACACTTACAAGCACATGCTCAAAATTTTAATTTGAAAATATCTATTGTCTATTTGCACACACACACATAAACACTTCCTTTCCACGATTATGCTGCAATATATATAGTCCTTCAGTTGAAAACTTTTACTCTTCTTTAACATCAGGAGCAAATGTAACACGTTTAGATTTGGAAACAGGTTTTCCATCCAAGTTTTCTCCTTTGTCTAGCTTTTTCAATGTATTCTTTCTAATCAAGTCAAATCTTCCCAATGATATCATCTTTTTTTCCCATTCATTCATTGCGGATTCATGTAAGTCTCTGTTTTGTTTTGCTAATGTAACATATGGCTAAAAAGAAAAAAAATTGAATCAAAACCTTTATAAAGGAGAGGATAATTGGAATAAAAAAATAAATATAGAGAAGTGAATCATAAAAATCTCATTTTTTTTTAAACACTAGAAAATGATGCTTAAGGAAATACATTGTTTTACCTCTTTTTCAGCCTCAGTCATTTCTTTCCAGCGAGTAACAATAATTTTCAACCGGGCCTAATAGAATAAAATATACATATCATAAAAAAACTGTACCATTAGAGTAATAATAAATGTGGTTTCAGTGTATCGGGTGTTTAGAGTCATCCATGAATTATGTTATGCCTTTTTACACCCCCCCTGCTCACAAAAAGCTAGACCCACCCCCTGACTTGATGTCACAACTCAGCCTACACCCCCCTCAAAATTGTTTTTTTTTAAAACGTCGTTTGTCGTCCTAAAATATTGACTGAGTATTTTAATTAAATGGTTTTCTTAAACCCAAATAACAGCTAAAATTCAGTTTTAAATATTACTTTTTTATAATGCAAAAGTTTGACATCACACTATCTGAATACCCCATCCCCCCCCCCCATCACTACAAAATTAATAAGCCCCCAACCCTTTATGAGTGATATTTATGGATGACACATCACCTAATTTACCACGCAAACCAAAACAAAAAGGAGTAGAGGGAACTACTTTGGATAAAAATAAAATGTAATAGTTATGTTAACAGACATGACTGAGAACATGATTCAGAATACTGCATATTTTTGGAAGGGTTTGGTAGAGAAATCTAAAAGGATAGTGCACTTATTAAATCCAAATTTTACATCCTTTCAGGACTTTTATCTGTAACAAGTGTAAAACAAGTGTACTTTATAAGTGGTTTGGGTATTGAAACCTAGGCCAATATTAGCCACTAAGCTGATCTATGATAAATTTCACTTACTGCTGCTGAGATGTCAGGGTCTCGTTCTCTAAACTTTTCTGACATAAAGTAACAGAAAGCCCCAGGAGCTTTAGAAGGTATGCCCAAAGCTTTCCTTTCCTAAAATGAAAACAAAAAAAATTGGCTTAAAAAATATTAAGTCAACTGGGCACTGTCAAATAATTTTTTTTTACTCTTTACAAATTAAGTTTACACTTAATACTACAGTTAACTTCCTAAGTATTAAATAAAGTTATTGCAGATTCTGACTGGTATGTGATAAATTAATACAAAGTAAAGTTTCCCTTTCAAACCTGACGGTCTATGGGGCAAGTGAAGTAGAGTTCACTTGTTTCTGTGACCTCTGCATACGAAGAGATAGTGTGGTCAGCACTATGTCATGCCGCCTTTACTTTCCTAACGTGAGTTAGTACCCATCAGAGTTCGGTGGACTCAGGGACGGCCTATTTACTTGAACCTGGATTCGAACTTGAGACTTACGGGTTACGGGTTAGCAGTCCAGCTCTCTACCGCTAGACCACTCCGTCCCATTAATACAAAAACACTTTCAATTTATGGTTTTAGTTGTCTACATGCTGGGTATATTGTGCAGAGCAACATATATAAAATCTGTGAGTAGGACATCACCCCCAGATCAATAACTACCCCGTCCACAAATAGGATTAGGGCATCACCCCAAAAAAATGGGGGACATTACCTGTCTGTTAAAACAAAACTGACACTAAACCTAACAATGTTATGGAATTTTCAGTTAGGATTAGGCTTATACTAAACTTCACTGTTTCTCTGTTTGGATTCAATGCAATGCCTAGGTAAAGTACTAAATAAATGCAATTTTATTTTATACTGTACTAATTTCTGTACTACAGAGTGCCGGGTTTCTCAATTTGCAATAACATGGGTAACAGGTATAAGAGAAAAAAAGGAGGGAGGAGGGGGGGTGGAGGAGAAGGAGACTGACTGTTAATGGTTTAGACCAGGGGTCTCCAAACTTTTCAGTCCGAGGGCCGCATTAACTATCAAATTTCAGTTCGGGGGCCAGTTTCTTCCAGGCATGTCTTTGATTTTTCTGCGCAAAGTTCCTCATCATCACCAACAAACGATTTTTCCTTGGACAAAAAGATCTCCGCAGGCCGGATGAGAAGACTTCGCGGGCCGCATCCGGCCCGCGGGCCGTAGTTTGGAGACCCCTGGTTTAGACTAATACTATCCTAATTACTTTCCACTAACTTAACTTTGTAAGACTGGCCTGGCAGACCGCTCAAGTTTCTGGCACCATATACTAGATGTGAAGTAGTGCCAGTATAAGACACATTACAGTGACTTACATTCAAAGCATTGTCAATTGTGTTTAAAAGGCAAACAATGCTTAAAGAAAGAAATTAGAGGTATTGAATGAAAGGCATCCATTTTTTAAAATAAAATTTAGGATGAAAATTGGCCATGTTATGAAACTAAAGGAAAACATGTATTTTTAAATTATTAGTCTTGATGAAAAAAAAAACATAACTAAAACTTTAGTTAAACCATATTAACAAATCTCATTACAAGTTACAGTTTATTTTTTACAAACCTTGTTAACTTTTTTTGCTTTTGTAAGCAGGCTGAGTGCTTCTTTATGTTGGATTTGTAAGGGTGTTAAATTATCATAGTAATTCTTTACTTCTTGTTTGTATTTTTCATATGCTTCACGTCTCTTCAGTGTCAAACGCTGGTAAAAAAAAGCAAACATTTAAATCAATATCCCGTTAAAAAATACAATTAACCATAAGATCATTACAATATCATAAAAGTAAACTAAAAGATTATATTAAAACATGTAAAAGTAAACTAAGTAAAATAAGATAGAAAAAAATAAAATTGTTTAGATTAAGCATAAAATATTACTCAAAAATTGAAAAACAAAAAAAGAGGTGAAAATAGAGTTGACATTCTAATATTTTTTTTATTACAATTTCATCCCTAAATAACTTGTGTATTTTTAACAATTTTGTCTCTCTTTTTAATTATTTTTTTTCCCCAGCTAGTAGTAAGCTTTCTCAGGATAAGAATCTATATAAAACATTTTAATTTTAAAAATGTTAATAACTAAATAACTTTCCTTAAATGTGATTTAAAACAAAGATTAGGATAACGGACAATGTATAAAAGTTTAACCAGTGAATTGAGCGAGTGTAATAAAATTTCATTTTTTCCCCAGCATAATTTGAACTGGCTTGAACATTCAAAACAAATTTTTATCACTTACTGCTTTTTCTTCAGGATCTAAGTCTCTCCACATTTCAGAGGCTTTAATAACCATTTGGACTTGTGAAGTAATTTCTAAATAGTAAATATATAGTTTTATAGTGCTCCATATTTTAAAAATTTATTTTCCTAAGTAGTGTTTTATTATAATATTTTGGTAATTAATGAGATTGATTAATTATATACATGGGAAATGTTATTGTCAAGTAAAATGAATAAAACCTGCAAAAAGATCACAACATGTTGTAGAATGTTGCAGTTTAGATAACTTATTTAAAAGTATTTTAAAAAACAACAAAAACAAAACAAATAGCTAATTAATATATACTTAGAATTAACAACTTTTGATGGCTACTAAAAGAATTTAAATTACCATTGTTATATTATATATATATATATATATATATATATATATATATATGGCTACAGGACATAACCCCCCGGAAATCCCCCCATCATATTTACCCACCGGTGCAATAACCCCCCCCTCTCAAGTTAGAATCCTAACTCTAACTAGAATTCTATACCTATATACTACTTTAATCCAAACCTTAAGAAAAAGACCAAAACCTAAGCATCCACCTTAGCCTAAAACTTCACACAAAACCAAAACCAACGCTAGACACAACCCTAACCTTAGCTCTAACCCTAAATGTCCGAGGGGTGGGGGTGTGTGTGTGTGTGTGTGTGTGTGGTGTGTGTGTGTGTAATTGACAGGGGGGAAATGTCCTGTTCCCATATATATATATATATATATATATATATATATATGTTTCTGAGTCAGCTTGTCAGTGATTACTTATTACATTAAGCCCGTCAACATTAGATTTAAGTAAGGAATTAATTGCTTAAATATAAGATACAGAAAGTTAGTTTTGTCAGATATTTGCCAAGTTGGAAGCAAAGATGATCACAATTTGTACATATTGGAATAACATACGTTTCAAACAAATAAAGAGATGGATCAAAAGTAGGTATCTAATACCACTTGGTGGTATTTATCCATTGAGTTAAAATTGAGTAAAATACAACCAATTTCATCGAGCAATACTTGTAAGTTAGACTTAGATATTAGAAGACATTTTTGTTACTACAACTGTCCTCTGGCGGGACGGAGCGGTCTAGCAGTAGTGAGCTGGACTGCTAACCCGTAAGTCTCGAGTTCGAATCCGGGTTCAAGTCAGTAGACCGTCCCTGAGTCCACCCAACTCTGATGGGTACCCAACTCACGTTAGGGAAAGTAAAGGCGGCTGGGCATAGTGCTGACCACACTATCTCTTCATATGCCGAGGTCACAGAAACAAGTGAACTCTACTTCACTTGCCCCATAGACCGTCAGGTTTGAAAGGGAAACTTTACTTACTTACAACTGTCCTAAGGGGTGAAGGTCGTGAAGAAATCATTTTAAAAAAATGTAATTAAATAGACAGAAAGAAGTAAAAATAAGGTAATCAACCTGGGTGCTTTTGTTTGATAATCGGTTCCACTTCCTTAACGAAAGTGAAAAAAATACCACCAGGATGTTGCGGTTTCTTCGGCATAGGTACATCTAGAACTCCTTTCTTTATATTAATGAAGTGCCCTTGCTTGTTAGAGAAATTTCTACACGTATGACTGGATGCTTCTTTTAAATTAGCATTAGGACCACTGTTGTTAATGCTGATCCTGAAAGTGAGAGGTAACACAAGTGAATTAGCCTCAAGTAGTTTGGGTAAATACAATATGCATGTAGGCCTAACATACATAAATAAAATTCCATTAATACCATCACAAAATTCCTAACTAGCAAGTATACATCTAAGCTTTCTTTTTTTTAAAGTAACTACCAAAAATTGGAACATAATGACTCCAAGCTGCTTGAGTACTATAATTTAATTAATGATATAGGCTATAACATGTTATAATAGATACAACAGAAATATGCAAAAAAAAAATTGTGTTAACAAAGGGAAATAATGAACTGTCAGATTTTTTCAGGAGCAGCACTGGCTTAACTATGAACTAAATTATGTGCTTTGAGATGTTTACCTTTCTTATAGTAGTTTTTGTTGGGTGTTTTAGACCAATCTATGATATGTAATTGTGGGATACTATTTGTTTTTCAGTACAGTAATTCTATGCTTGGGCTATAAATTATAGACCTATATCAAAGTTACCCTTTTAGACATGTTGGTCAAGAGGACAACTGAAGTTAAAGTCACCGCTGTTTCGTTGACCTTGGAATGTGATGGGCATTGTGTGGATGTGAGAGCCTAAAGAGTTGTCATTTATAATATAAAATTCCACTTTCATGTTTGTTTCAAAATGTGGGGCCTCAGTAAATTCAGCATGTAGATCTAGATCTAGATGAAAAAATGGACCTAAACCCTCACAAAAATCAATTTTTTAAAGTTTCGCCTCTCTGTGTCATGTCATATATTGATGTATATTTGTATTGATAATGTTATTAAGTTATAAACATGTCATTACAGGGTAATGATTAGGCCTACTCAGGAAGCCTACTATTAGTATTAGGCCTATTTAATAATTTATTTATTAAAAATAATTTTAAAATAAAAACCCAGAATGTCCCAATTTTTTTTTGTAAAAGTTTTAAAACCAAGGATATTTTAATTTATTAGTTAAAATAAACATCCATTAGTTAGGCCCAGACTAGTAATAATTAGGGAACCTTAATGTAGGATGTATCTAGATCTAGATTCTAGTCTGGATATTATTTTTAGTGCTGATGCCAGAGTAGAGTGAAATTTCGAGTTATTTAGTTGAGTGAGTTGAGTCTTGAGTGTGTCGTCAGTTTGCCAGGTCATTTAAATTATTTAAAACATAGGTTTGATGTCGAAATAAAAACAGAATGCTTAAAACAAACATAATTATGACCATATCTCTTCACGGGTGAAACATACTGCAATTTTTTTAAGCCCAGATAAAGTGCTTGAAGTTTGCTGCCTTTGAAGCAGCTTCCAACCATGGTCGTCGCCATCTTCTCGCGCCTAATGGGAGGTATCTCTTCTGTTTTTTTAAAATTGTGTTTAAAAACATAATTAGTTTATTTTTACAAAAAGGTACGTGTTTTAAAAAAATATATATTGTTTAAATAATCAATGATTATAAATATTTCATTAAATAATCTTAATACTAATTTCAATGAAAAGTATAAGTAAATAATTTGTTAAAGAACTCCCCATTGACGTCAAAACGCTTCCGTCACAACCAAAAAGGTGGATAAATTATCATATTTATATTATTTAGATCTTAGGCTTGAAACGCTCCCACACATATTTTTGTAGAAGTCTAGGCCTAGATCTTGATCTTATAGATCTATCTGTATTGTAGTGGTACTGATTTTTGGACGTTAAGTTTCTTACCAGTGTAGACCATGGAAAAATCACCCAGATCTCTATTTATTTCTCTTTTTGTTTGCGTTTTGTGTTTAACAACAATCATTCAAAGTGCCAAACCAGAATCAGAAAACCAGGGAGCTTTAAAAAATGACGGTAGTGGAAACGGTAAATATGAAGCAGTTGTTAATAAAGATCGCAATGAAGAAGGCTCAATATTCTTTCATCATAATTATGAGTCAATGGTCAGCTTAATGACTGAAGTGAATAAAGCCTGTCCAGAGATAACAAGAATTTACAATCTCTCTGAGCCATCAGTTGAGGGACGAAACTTAACTGTTTTAGAAATAACAGAGAATCCTGGAGTTCACAAGCCAGGTAAGTTATGTAATTTTTTATTTTTAGTTTAGTATAGTATATAGGCTTACAGATCTTTTTTAATATAGGCCTAAATTTAATTTAAATTTTACATTGCTTTATCATTATACTTTATGAATGAGATTATCATTTAAAAAATTGCAATTAGGGCCTATGACTATAGATTGCCTACTATTATTTTATAATTATAACTTAGTTATCAAAACTCAAACATAATTCAACAATTTTGTTTTACAGGAAAACCAGAATTCAAATATGTAGGCAATATGCATGGTAATGAAGTTGTTGGAAAGGAAATGCTTTTGTATTTAATGGTTGCTATGTGTGAACTTTACAAGAAAGGAGATGAGTTAACTAATTTTATTGTAAGCCAGACACGTGTTCATATTTTGCCATCCATGAATCCCGATGGTTGGGAGAAAGCTTACAAGGAAATGCTGGTAATTCGCTGTTGTAGGCTTTTACATTACTTACATAAATCATGAAAAGCCTCTGTTATGTAGCTGAATAAGCAAATGAATATAATAGAAATATTTTTTCCATTCTAAAATATATATCTGATCAATTTTCATTTTTCGCTCATTGTTAGAATATTTTATGGCCAATTAAATAATAAGCACATTATTTTGTAAATTGTTTAGTACAATTTTTGTCAGATAAGCTCTGAAATTTTCCTTACTCATTTCTTTAATGCCAGATAAAAATATTGAACATTATCTTATAAATATTGAAAAAAAATATTCATCTTTAAGAGTTATTTAACAATTCACTTTTCATCTTAGGAAACTGGAGAAGCAGGATGGCTTACAGGAAGATCAAATGCTAATAATGTTGACTTGAACCGCAACTTCCCAGACTTAAATGCTAAAGTGTATGAGAATGAACGAGATCATAAAGGCAGAAACAACCACCTAATGAAAGTTGAAAATGCTATAGCTAATGACAAATCTGTAAGTTTTTACTTGTTGCTTGTTAACAGTATGATATTTAAAATGTAATAGCCATCTTTTTGTCATGTTTTTGGTATGTAATCATTTATATTTTTGTGAAATGTAATCACTGTTGTTAAAATAAATAAACAGCTGCAGCCAGAAACTAGAGCAGTTATGCGTTGGCTAGCAAGTATTGGATTTGTTCTATCTGCTAATCTTCATGGGGGTGATCTAGTGGCCAACTATCCTTATGATGAAACCAGATCCGGAAAGAGCCAAGAGTACACTGCCTGTCCTGACGATCATACTTTTGTGTGAGTGGTATATTTTGTTTCATTAAGCTTCTCAATACTGGAGAAAAAATATTCATGGAATAATAATGTTATTTTCTTTTGATTTTAGTTACCTGGCCAAGTCCTATGCTTACTTTCATAAAACTATGGCAGATGCTAACAGAATACCCTGTGATAAAGAAGGAGACAACAAACCTATCACAAATGGAGGTCTCTGGTATTCTGTAGCCAAAGGTATATTTCAAAATATCTGATGCATCTAAACATATGCATGTTAATATATTTATTTTATATGAAGTCCCAAGAAAGTTCAATATTTAAAGGTTATAGGACACTAACAAATATTTTTTGTTGTGCCCATACTTTATTTTCACAAAGGTTAAACCATTTCTAAATTTGTTACTTTTTATGGGAGTTATTAAATTATACATGTGGTATGTCTTACCAGGTGAGGATAACTCATAAGTACCAAATTTAAAAAAATAAATTTATTCCTATTTAAACTGTGTAACTTAGAAATAAATAATTTTTTTTCTCTTGAGATTTGAATGTGTAACTTGTTTGTACTAGGCATGCAGGACTACAACTACTTAAACACCAACTGTTTTGAGATCACTCTGGAATTGGGCTGTGACAAGTTCCCCAAAGCTTCAAAATTACAAGAGCTTTGGCTAGACAATGCTGCAGCTCTGTTTAACTACATTCTACAGGTAGCCACCATATTAGTCATTCAGTATCTAAAGACATGAGGTTATCTTAAAAGTAGTTAGTATTAGAAGTCTGAGGATATGCTACAATTATTATTCAGGCTAATAAAACTTGATGATCAGGTAGAATCTATAAATTTACATTATTTAAAATAATAGTGGCACAAGTATTGCAGTAGGAATAATATTAAAAGATTTGTTTGATTGGCATTCAGTAGTAGAATTGTTATTTTAGTTCACTATCTAAATTTAAAACCACAATCAATGTTTTAATGTGATAATATGTAAAAATAAAACACTACATTCTGTTTAACATTTTTTTTAAGAAATATTACTATATTAGCTTGTTAACTTTATTTTTTGTTTTCAGACGCATGTTGGAGTTAAAGGATTTGTCAAATCTGTAAACAGTACACCAATAGCCAATGCTGAAATAAAAGTCAACAATCTGGCCTCTGGTCTGCCTATAGAACATGATATCTTGTCTTGTAAGTCAGGACAATTCTTATTGTGTATTAAGCCTTGTCATTTGATCTGTTTTTTTTTACATCTCTCCTGCAACAAACGCATACTTGAAGGACTGGTTAATTGTAGTAGTTTCAGATATTGCTTAAAATTTTGTATGTAAATAAAAATAAATCACCATACATTTGTAGATTCCACTTCATCGCATAATGTTTTTTCTTTAGTGGAAGCTGGAGACTATTATCGACTACTGGCTGATGGCTACTACAAAATCTCTGCCAAGGCTGAAGGCTTCCACCCCTCTTTCCACTGTGTACACATTGTGAACAACATCAATGTAGGAGAGTCTGGCAGCGAGCTGTCCCCTGCTCCTGAGCTGAACTTTTCTTTAGTTCCCAGCTCTCAGCCAGAACCTGATCGTAGTCAAGAGCTTGAGACCTGTCAGGCACTGTGGGAAGAAGTTCAGGCCAAAGTGAGTGACATTTAAAATTTTGTCAGTGTTGTGTTAAGTTATGGTCAACTGTTGGGCACTCTGTTATCAGCCCAGGAGCGTTGAGTTCTAATTTGATTTTGGGAAATAGGTTAAATGTTTCATGGGTTAAAGAAACATATGAACTCATACAAGCTACATTATGGATCTTGAGATAAAGTTCAATTACAATCACTTCTGTTGTACACTTTATTTATTCAGCACTAAACTACAATAAATTACAGAATCGGCAAAAGTAATGAAATAATTTTCAAAAGCTGTGCTTATGTCATGGTTCTAGCATTAAAGAACTGGCATCTTGTTAACATTGAGGCAGTATTTTTGTTATTGTTGATTACAGACTCAACTAGATGACAGGGATCTGCTAGTGTCTGTTCTGTCCTACTTGGATCCCACCACCAAGTGGTCAGCTCTGGCGGACAGGTTGACAACTGTACAGCTGTACTACTATCTAGGTGAGGGGCTGAAAACTCTAAAACCTGACCAGATGAGAGAGGTTCTGAAACTTTTACCAAGAGCTGTGCAAGAGCAGCTGGATTTAGTCATCACAGCCACAATGGAAAAAGAGTAAAAAATTAGTTAATAAACTATCATTTTAAGGTCTTAGAAGTTTTAAGCATTAAAATAGGGTACCAAATTTTATTTCATACGATCACATGGTTGAAAATATAATGCAAGGACCAAATTTATTTCATAATAGTCACACACAAGAAATATACTAATTTTACTCTGTAATGATCACACAAACTTAGCCGACATTTATGTTATTCTTCTAAAACATGAACAAAAATAATTTTTATAACTTTTATGTACTTTAATTTCTACTTTTAATTTTAATAGCTTTATAAGTTTGTTTGCAAATTTTATATATTATACTACATTTGAACAAGTTTGTTGAAGAAAATGCCTGTGAACTACCAGTGAGATGGAACAGCACACAATTTTTTAATAGTTAAAAACCTCACAGACACCCAGATTAATTAAAAGAAGTTATTAATGTCTTAAGTTATTATTATAACTTACAATTAGATTTTAAATTCACAGAAAATTATTATTTTATTTTACACATTGCCCTTTTTAATTAAAATTTCACAGAAAGTTATTATTTTATTTTACACATTGCCCTAGCTAATGGCTGTAATCATTGATGTTACCTTTAGAATAGGTATTGTAATTTATACTTTTTAAAAATATTTTCAGAGTTAAACTGAAATTTATATTTTAACCCTGATACTGGTACCTTTAACTGTGGACATTGAAATAACTGTTGTATGTACTTTTTCCACACTCTAATCGTAGAGCCACTTGCATAATAAATAGAGTCCTATTTGTTTACTGAGAGTTGTTTTAGGATCAGGAGCCACATGTTGCCAACTTCTGCACAAAAAATAATCTAAACTAATTAATGTGCAATGTTTAATGAAACTACAGCAGTATATGATATATTATTATTATATTATAAAATGTATTCAGTCCCTCTTGCTGTTGTCTGGTCCAATATGTGTGATGTGTTAGCTGTTTACAGTACTTTAGTAATGTACTTTTTCTCTATCTGCTACTTATAATAAATCAAAAGCGGTGAATGAATTACAGACATTCTACAACATTTGTCAAAAAAATTAGATCACAATTTTTCTCATTATGGACCAGCTAGGGCATGACTTTTTCTTGTTCCAAATTTAATATATCTTACAAAAACTGTTCCACGTAGCAATAATGGTTTAGTGATCTCAAGAGTTTTGACTTATACAATTTCTTGCTTAATTTAATGTAAATCATATACACAAAAAATCTATTTTTCAATTTACATCTATAGAAATGTGTAGTTTTATTTTGTGTCTGTAAGAAGTATTGTTATTTTCTGATCAGTACAGCATTTATCTTTTATAAATATTTATTTTACATGCATTTGTTTTCTTCAAACAAAAAATTGTGATAACTTTTATGTGCAATACTAATGGAAATTTTTAAAAAATATGTTCATTTTACATTGTAATGGAAATTTAAAAAAAAATGTTCATTTTACTTTGCAATTTATAATGTTACAATAATAAGTTGAAACAAAATCCAATCAAAATAGAATTCCAGTATCCATTCCAAGTACTTTTTTTGTTTGTCTATACACATTTTTCATCAAGGCAAACTATATATTGCATTCCCATGAAGTTTATTTTAAAGGGTTTTTAATGATTTTATTATAAAAGATCTGCTTTGTGTTTTTAATCAGTTATGTTAAACATTTTAGTTTTAAAAAGGAAAGGAATTTTGTTGTTTATAAATTATAGTTCAGGGTATCCAGCAAATTATTGTGTTGTGATTTTTGTGATATTGGTGTATTCTTTTCAATCAATCCACCAGTGTACTCAGTACTCACACAGAAGAATAAAAGCTTATTTTAAAATCACTTGTTTTCTGTCTTTGAATTTCTAGGGTTCTCACTACATTAAAACCATTTTCCACCACAGTTAAAATTTTTTATGTAACAAAACTATATAATTTTAAAATTCTTATGAATTCCATTCATGCTTTTCTTATACAACAGCTATGATTAAAAATAAAACATTAAATAAACAAATAATTGACAGGACTACAAATGACTTGTGTTAAAAAAGTAAGCAATGTAAAGAAATACTGAAAACCTATTGATAACACTAACAATACAGATAATTTACTATAATTATAAATCATTCTCCAAAGCTGTGTGTTTGGTCACTTTTCCATTACAAAAACAAATTAGAAAATCTGAAGAAGGGTACTTATAAAGACATTTTTATTTGAATGCATATGCATAAACAGCCAACTGATCAAAGCAAAAATGCTGCAATAAAATATGATTGAAGTACAAGATAAACATAATCACATTTTAAAAACATACTTAAAATTAAATGGCTTACTACTAAAATGTAACAGAATTACAAAAGTATTCACCAACACAAATTCTGTTGTTAAAGAACATGTTCTGATTTTTATTAGAAATATTGCACTAAGTAGATCTATTTACACTTATAGTTTAATGACCCACTAAAGTACAATGTATTTTTTCCATTTTGCCTTAGTAAGCATAAAATTTCAACATTATTTACAATATGAAGCCTACTTCAGAGTTAAACAAAGAAAGTATATATACAAAAGCAATAAATTTCTGTTATGCCAAAAAATAAATTTGATTGTTATGTAATATTACAACAAAAGATGTTAAATTACAATTAAGAATGAGGAAGTAGAAGAGTTTCTGTTTCAGGATGAACTGGAAAATAACCAAAAAACTCAAAAGAATTAGCATACTTCTGTTTTTATAAGGTTGAGATAAATCCCCAAGATTAAAATGTCATACATTGTTATTTGCTTTTTCATGTAATTTACTATAATTAATACTTTCCTAGTCCTAAAATTTTTACGGGCATTATTTCATTGCAGCTCCCATTGTCTTGTAATATTAAATAACAATACATAACAGAGATGTAAGTTCATGTCTTTAGTTTAGTGCAGAGATATTTCTTATTTTTAGTAAGGTAAGTCAAAATTCTCATGTAACAGGAAACAGCAAAAGCTTGTTTGTAAGGGTAACAAATAGTTCTTAATTCAACATAGTGAACCTATATAGATTATACATGAAATGAAACTCCTACTCTAGTAATATGGGTTAGCTAGCTAATATAAAGAATTGAACTAAAGGAATATAATGCAAAAGTAGTATATATGAAAACTTATTTAAATAAACACAATTTTAGTTTTTTTTTTACTTCTTCAAAACTTTTACAACATACTACATAGAGGGTTAATTTACAGGTGTAAACTACTGTAGCAGTTAAATGTTATTTCATGTAAAACAAGCACAACTACCATGTTCAAAAGAGCAGAAATATGAAAGCTCAATAACATTTAAATTTAATAACCTATTTACTAATGAAGATGAGGCCTTTTTAAAAAAAGTTTTGTAATTGCCCTAATGCTGGACCCTGATTTCAGAATGCCAATAAAAAGAATTTTTTTTCCAATGGAAAATAGGTTTCAACTAATAATTACAAAATTACTTTATTGGCATTTCTAATAATTGTTATCCTTTTAATTCTAAAATACAGAACATATAGTACAATGATTCAACCTTTCCATAGATATCTGGATGCTTTGATCTACAACTTAAAACTGAAAGACCTTTTGAAGTAGATTGTTAGTAATGTCAGTATATCTAACCAAAAAAGAACTTAAAAGTATAAGGTAAAAAAAGCATTTAGAAATTATCTTTAAAAGGTGGCAAATAATTTGTTATAACTCTTTTAAAAAATCTGGAATATGCAATCTTTTTTAAATTTTTTATATATACTATGTCATAGGAATGTCATTATGACTTCCAAAATGCTTTAAAAAGTGTTATGAAGGTTCCTGTGATACAATGGTCAGATTGGGAGTTGTGGAGTTCAAAGTATACTGGCACTGGTAGCTAATGCAGCTAGAGGATAAACCTACCTTCAAAAGTTATATATTACCCATGAAACAACCATCACTACATTGTACTAATTTTAAAAACTAATAGTAGTCAGCAGTGGAAAAAATAACAACCCAATAACAAATAAGTGCCGCAGGGAATTATTTTATTACTGCATGAGAAAAAATGAAGAAAAACAAATAAACACAAAAATCACTGACAGCCAAAGATACGTGGGCCATTATTTTGGTGTATGAATCCAGAATATCCTGCTTGATTCCACACAACATGAGAGCAGCTACCATCATGTTTCCTTTGGATTGCATTACTGGTATGTGCTATAAAAATACAGATTGTTTTTATAAGTCAAGCATACCAGAATTAACCACATTAACTAGAAAGTTAGATAGAATTTAAAGAGGATATTTTAATTTTCAATACAAATATCACCATTTATTTTGAAAATAAATGTAAATGCATTGATGGTACATAAGAGAGAGATTTTATAGGCTATATATAGGCTATATTTTATAGGCTATATATAGAATATACTATACATATGTACCTGAAAGTAAGTGTGTACTGTATAAGCTATGGCTATCTCCAGAAAGATGAATGGATAGAAAATACTCTGTAAAAAATGTTAACATTTTATTAATAGAAAATTTGATTAGGGGTCATATAGGTATGGCGAGGTGGGTGTTCTAAAGTTCCAACTTGATTTATAAAATAGGTGACCCCTTATATTCATTATAATAATATAAAGTTCTTGTAATTCGTTTTAAAATTTTTGTGGAACTCTTTGAGGGTAGAGGTTTTAAGACTAGTTTTTTTGTGTATATCTATATAAGAAGTTCTAATTTTAAAAAAGTATTTCAATTAAAACTTACTTGCAGTAAAAACAGTCCAAACCCAAATTTCAGTAGAAACCGAGAGACAAATGCAGTTAAGGCAAACACAGACAGTTTTAAAATCTCCAAGGACTTTGAATCCATGACAAAGTCTGACATCTTATTATTTGTATTTATTTTTGTTGTTGATTCTGGTACTGCATTGGTTTCTGCCTCATTTTCATCATTGTGAAGTGAATCACTTAAAGTGTTGTGAAAATTTGTCAACGGCACATCGTCAAATGTTGAGGAATTATGACCAGTCAAGGAAGGTTGAACTGGTGGCTCATTTATAAGAGGAGTTTCATGTGTTGATATCTGTGGTGAAGCAACAGTTTTATGATGTCTATTTCTAAGGCTATAATGAGGCTGGGAACTTTCAAGCAGCTCTTCATCATTTTTTTGCTCAGTTGGTATTGGTTGTTCCGCAACACCTTCTGTGAATTATTATAGACACTTTTATTATTTGCAATGACAGGAATTAAAAGTCTATTTAATGTTTATTTTAAAAAATTGAAAGTAACAATACATAGGCCTATAAATTATTGTATGTTTGTCTTATATGCATTACTACACCTTAATACTAGCTTTGGAAAGTTGTTGAGAATACTCCTTAGAAGGTCATGGTTACTATCTTAGCACCTGGGATCTGATGATTAAGTGTCCTGCACAGGGGGTCTGGGGCATTAATTGATTCAATGATCAAGCTGCAACAGGCGCAACTGCCAACTCTCCGGCAATGGGCTGCACCCTGGGCTCCTCCATGAGCACTTTGATGCCTATGTTCATTTTAAAGAGTGCCATATACCTATACCACTTATGGTTGCCAGATACCTTTTCCGAAAATACTGGACACCTTTCCATCCTTCCCTTCTCAGGTATGCCGCAAAGCAGAAGAAGGGGGGTAACAGAGTATTATTCATATACTTGTCCAGTATTTATATTTATTTTATCCTGGACAGTCTGCTCAAAACTGGACACCTGGCAACCCTAATACCACAGCATTTGATGTGGTAGTGTAACCGGTGGCTACCAAAATGTAGTGACAACCCTGATACCTGTAAGGTGTGTTCTATCTCACTTTTACGGAGGGTGATTAACATACACTCAAGGCGTTCATACAACAGGCCAAGGGGTGGATGGAGTTAGTGTGAACAAAACTGTGTCCCAACAACTAAGCTCCAAAGGAGTATAGAGCCAGCATTGTTTACAATTAAATAACTTATTTAAAAAAAAAATTTAGGTTAAAAATATGCTGATGAAACCTTATTAAAAGTTTTGTCACTCTGGTAGTGTGTAGTATAAGGTGGGAATGTATGATGGCGATGGTTACCACTGTACTAGATCTAATCTAGTAAATAATCTTGTCCCTATTAATAATTTTTTGGCTCTAGCTTTAATACTATAAACACTAACCTAAACTTAATATAAACACTACGACCAGTGTTTAAGTTTCCGGTTTAGTGTTTTCTTTTAATTTCAGGTATCTCTCCCCCCCCCCCCCCCCCCCCCCAGCGAAGCATGTCTTTATTATTGTCTACCGCCCCGCTGAATGAAATATAATTCATATAGAAAATATATTCTTTTACCAGTGGTATTGTCGTCGTCGTCCCCCGCCCCCCCCCACTGAAAAAGAAACACAATAGTATTGTCGTCGTCGTCCCCCGCCCCCCCCCCCCACTGAAAAAGAAACACAATACACTGACTACAGTCTACCTACACTGACGACGACACTCACCACTTAACTGAGTGGACGGTACCCGGTACTCACTCAGTGTATCGATAACCATAAGAACTAGACTAGTCTACTCAGTGCTTTAGCCTTTTAAAACAAGTATAAAGTATAAAGGTAAGCGAAAACTTCAGGTACCATTAGAATTTAAACCATATATCCTTTTAATTCTATCTTCTGAGTTTTGCAATATTTTCTTTCGCCTAGCTTCTCGTTGGGCTGCCGCATCCGCCATTTTGTATTGATAAAAGGTGAAATCATTATTATTTTCGGTGATGATTTCGAATTTAAAATTATATTTTTTTTTGGCTAGGCCTACGTGAGAACATCTCGTGTCTGTTCTTTGCCAAGATGTATTCAATATGTAGACTCAGATATAAATAAGGTTTTAAAAATAATTTAAAACAAATTAGCCAATCAATTTCTCATCTACCAAAAAAACAAAAAAAAAAACAACAACAACACAAAACGTCACTTAGATTTATGATACATATTCTACCCCTAGTCCTAGGCCTATTGCTAAGGGGGGAATCTAGATCTAAATAATCTACATGCATACACTGCAGTACGTATTGTTTTAGCTTGCTCAACTGTCATGTAAATTTAATATGTGGACGATCCTTTATATATATATATATATATATATATATATATATATATATATATATATATATATATATATATATATATATGCCTATATATAGTTATATACAGTGGCGTAGCGAGGTCGGGTGTCACCCGGTGCGGCACTTAATGGTGTCACCCCCAAGAAGCGTAGCGACACTTCCCGGGGACAAACTTTCAAATTTTCGATTTGCACCCCCCCCCTTAAACTTTCGATTTGCAACCCCGCCCCCCCAAATTTTTCTCTTTATATTTTGCTATTTTTTGCCTTGGTGTCACCCCCCTAAATGGTGTCACCCGGTGCGGTCCGCACCCCCGCCCCCTCGCTACGCCTCTGGTTATATATAGACTATACTATACATATATAATATATAAATTATAGGCCTATCTATATATATATATATATATATATATATATATATATATATATATATATATATATATATATATATATATATATATATATATATATATATATATGTGTGTGTGTGTGTGTGTGTGTGTGTGTGTAAATTATCATTTAATATACATTTAATATATACTTCAATAAAATTATGATGACATTATATTTAACAATAATTAACTTTCTTCTGTGGTAGGAGTGTAGCTTATTCAATAGTGACATCACTGCGAATCGTATCGTTCATAAGTGTAACATTGGACAAGATTTCCTCCAACATAACTAAGTACGTGCCAATATGTTATGCGCCATATGGCTTGTTGCAGTAGCGTAGCGAGGGGGTGGGGGGGGGGGTGGGGGGGGGGGACATATGTCCCCGGGTGCCGACCTTAGGGGGCGCCAAAATGGGTTGGAAAAATAAATTGAAAGGCTGAGGGGAGTGCAAATCGAAAGTTTGAGGGGGGGGGGGGGGTGCAAATCGAAAGTTTGAGGGGGAGGGTGCAAATCGAAATCTTGAGGGGGGCGGGTGGTGCAAATCGAAAAGTTTGCCCCCGGGCGCCGGGTAGGGTCGCTACGCCTCTGGCTTGTTGACACTGACTCCTGTCTGCTTTTTTTTGAATGCCTGTTTTCCCATAACCTTTGTCCACTCAAGAGCAAAATGCACTTCTGCTGGATAGGTTGCTATTCTTAGCTTACTACAATAGCTTCAGCAACCCGGGGTCTGAGTAGAGGCGTAGCGACCCTTCCCGACGCCCGGGGACAAACTTTCAATTTTCAATTAGCACATCCCCACCCTAAACTTTCAATTTGCACCCCCAATATATTTTTTTATATTTATAATGCAAAACTGCAGCTAAAGTAAGATTTTAATTTGTTTTTCCAACCCATTTTGGCGCCCCCTAAGGTCGGCACCCGGGGACATATGCACCCCCTCCCCCCCTCGCTACGCCTCTGGGTCTGAGCTTGGAGCTATTTTGTTAGCAATCAAGCGCTCACCCTTAGCCGACCATATCTTCCCCCATTTTTCAAACAAAACATGAATAATGAAACAGCGAAGGTACCAACATTTCACAGATTGTTTTGACAATTTTGGCGTTCCAGCGACATCAAACAGGATGAGAGTGCGCGGGAATTGTTTGAGCAATATTTACACGATTGATTGAGCTAGAACATAACTAATTAATTAATGCATCATCTAATGAGTTAGCGAGCAGCTGATTAATGACCACATAGACAAATATTATGTACTGCAAATCAATAACTTGTATAAAGGGATAGTATCCATAGTCAAAAGGGCAAGTTAAAAATAAATTGTTCAGTTTCATCACAATGCAATTTTTATAGCTCCTGATATATATATATATATATATATATATATATATATATATATATATATATATATATATATATATATATATATATATATATATATATATATATATTATATAATACTAATCTTACATGTTTCTTCTTTCCTATGCCACATATAGGCCTATTAAACCATTAAAATATGTTATTCATTTTCTAGAAAATTCGCATAGACCTCTATCAAGATTCACACGAGCATGAAGTAATATGTAATTTGTGAACTGCGAAGCATGAAACAATATACACTTTCAAAAATCAGAATTGATTTTTAGGACCCCCCCCCCCCCGTCCCCGTCCCCGTCCCCATTACCGTATAAGCCAACTGTTTTCACTATGTCAGCAATTATTTTTTGTTTAAATTTTGTTTTAAATATTGGTTTTCCTTTTCACGAGTCAACATAAAACTTGTGTCCCACCACAAGCACTCAAGCGCTGAATTAAACAGTTACTCCAGGAGAATATTTAGTTGTAGATTGAAACTTTGTCCAAAGATTTTAAAGTGTTGTAATTTCTGCATATAAAGGAAAAAGAAAACACTTTCCATTTATTGATATGAAAATATACACGACTCTCGTGTGTCAGTTAGTTGCTAGCATTAAAGTATTTATTGTATGTTAAGTAGGTCACATAATGTTGTGAAAAAAAAAACAACAGAAAAAAAAAACTACCAATTGGGCTTGTAAGTCTCTTTGCTTCTCTAACTTAAAATTTGAAATCTCGTTTGCCAGGGTCAGGTAAATTCTCAAACTATCATTATCAGTTTTTACGATTTTAAATAAATTAACAATAGCGTAAGTCACTTTTTTTTTTTACCGATTTAATAAACACATTCACATTTGGTTTGAAAAAGACTAGCTGGCTAGTATAAGAATTTGGTGACCTACTTAAAACTAAAAGCCGTATTGTTAAAAAATGTTAAAATTGTAAGGATAAATATTATCCATGTTTGCTTAGACTTCAAGTTTATTGCACAATATCACATTATTTTAATTAACTATTTCAAATTATGACCCTGTCTTTTTTTCTTCTCTTTATGCGGGGTTTTACCACCACAATAGCGACAAATAATTATCGATTTTTTTATTGAACTGATGTTGGAATGAAAATCTTTATAACATGTAACGCTGGCTCTGTGCAAGGGACAACATTCATTTACGAAGTAATTATTGACCGTTGAGTGGCCGAGAACACAGAGGGGTCGGCAGGTTTTAGCAGAAGCAATGACGTAAAGGTGGGCTACGCCATCTTGTTAGACCTCAGAGAAATCATTAGGGGATTGTACATAAATGGCGTCTAAAACATTGAGGGTGGGGGATGGGCAGAGTTTCTTCCAGGCATCTCTTTGGAGTCTACTGTCCCCCCCCCCGAAAAAAATGTAATTTTTATAGAAAATATATACTTTTAACAGTGTCCGCCTCCGGAAATTTTAGCCCCCCCCCCCCCGAAAATTTCAAGTACCCCCCCGGAGAACAAATCTGGAAGAAACAGTGGGGATGGATGTTGGGGGTGGGGTGGAATAAGATGGTTCCAGCCTGTCGTTATGACGTAATACGAGGGAAGAATGGGTTCAGTGTGACTTGGCAGTAATTTTGTATATAAAAATAATTAAAATAATTAAAATGGTGCTAAATTCCACAAGGCTGTGTTTCTTTATGTCAAGGGGGGGGGGGAAGAGAAGGAGGATAGCTTTTAAAATAAAAGCTTGAGAGTAGAGGTGTCTAGCGTTTTATGATAGTTGGCTTATATGACGACAGCTTATATTTTTTCTAATGTGTTAGATAAACATAAAATCATATCACAGCATAGTCTACGAAAACAAACTTTCTTTTCTGCAGCCAAAATCAGAAAATGAAAATCAGAAAAAAAAGTTTATGAAAAAACCTAAACAAACAACATCAACAACAAAACACTTAATTTCAAGATGGAACGAAGCTTGCGTAGGCTTAAAACTTCACTCGATGCCATTAAAGATTAGGCCGGCTGCCGCTTAACGGACGAGCATCCCACGTCTGTGACGGCTGGTGTAGCAAGGTCTGTGATGGCTGGTGTAGCGAGGTCTGAAAGGTGGCATTAACGATGCTGATCCGATTAGCTCTGACCCCACGTAGGTGCGGTGTGATAATTTTAGCATATGCATGATTGATGGGGGGGGGGGGGGGGGTTGTGGGTGTCAAGGTTAAGGACGGGGTGGGGGTTGGGGGCGACGAGAGTATTATTTAATTAGATCATATAAGACCAGTGTTTCTTCCAGACTTTTTCTCCGGAGGGGGGGGGGGGAAATTTAGACTTTCTCCGCCCGCACCCCCCACCCCCACCCCCGAAGAGATGCCTGGAAGAAACTCTGTATAAGACTGGAGTCTTAAAAAAAACCCGACAATTAGATTTCGTGTCGTTAGAAAATTTTACATAATTTCTTCAACTGTTATACCAAGATTGGGAGTAACAAATGACACGTATCGCATTGACATATCACAATTTCAAGTTGTAGGATGACATGTATCACAATTATTTGTATAACAATGAAATGTAAGAACTTGTCATATGGAAAAAAAGCACACAATAATGATAGTCACAAGTAAAAGTATTACATTGAAATACCACAATGGCATGTTATAAGTGATATTACGAATAAAAAGTAAAAATAGAGTTTCTCTTTAGACCTCAAGATCCACAGATGAAGACGGGTTCAAATAATTCTTGACCACGGTATATGAAGGTATGGTGTTGTCAGCATTATGCCCAGCCGCCTTTTCTTTCCCCCTACGTAAGTCAGGTACCCATCAGAGCTGGGTGGTCTCAGAGAAGTCGTACAGTCACATGTCCGTTCCGAGATTCGAACTCGAGACCTTCAA